ACCATCCGCAAATATAGAGGTAAGTTTCTTTTCATTATAAATTTCTATAAGCAAACTTCTTTATCATAACTTTCAAATTGCAACAATGAGCACTTATAAAAGTGCAAATGAAGCTTGCAGGCTAAGGTAAGAATGTTAAAAGTTAATTTTCTGCTTGACAAAGACTTAACACTAAACTGCTGTGGGAAAATAAGAATGTGAATCAATGAAGTGTTAAAGTAGACAGAAGAAAATTACAAGCTGTTTCATTTCAGTCACAGATGAATGAATGCAAAGAAACAAATTCACTTTTGCTTTCCTTTTTTTTTGGAAAATATCTATAAGACTCATGGAATGCAATATCTTAAAATCTATCTTCTCTTAAGGATCAATCAAAATATGCTTTGTGAATCATTCTGTCAGGGTGGCATGTGGTTTAATCATTGAAGAAAAAAAAAGCAAACTGACTGGACACAAAGAGACAAGGTAAAGAGAAGAAATAATTGCATAATTATAATATAATTGTTTTAAGTTGTCATTTTTATTTTTGAAGCTGATATATCCCCAAAACATAACTTGATTAAGAAGAATATGAACACTAAAGAAGAACACTAGCCTGTTGGCTTTGATAAAAACAAACATCCATCTTTTAATTACAAAGATGTTGTAAGAGACAAATGGAAGTATTTTAAGAACATTTACCAAATTAAAAAAGCTCACAGGTACGAGTTACAGAATTCAAATGTTCAATCAAACTAGATTGATTTTGTACTTCAAATTTAAAAGTGTGTCAGTTTTCTGAAGTAGATTTAGGAAAAAAAGTAACAGCTCATAAAATATATTTTGTTAACTTTAAATGCCTATAAACATAAACAATGGTGACAAAAAATATACATGACTAGAATTAACAGAAGATAAGGAATAATTTCATATCACCTGCCAAGAATTAAAATATTAGAAAAAACCTAAATAAGTAAAACTTAAACATTTCCAAAAATATGTTAGACCAATATTAATAATTCATATCTTTAGTTTTATCAAGTAATTAACTGTCTATATAAAGGTGTGTTTTTCCCAGTCATAGAAAGAATTAAAAATAAATAAATAAATAACTGGGTTGGCTGGATGTTATACTTAACTGGCTTCTAAACTAACTGGGGGCTAAAGATATGTTTAGATTATGTGTGTAATTATTTGTTAATTTATCTCTTAATTTTAATTACTTATATCATCTATATTGTCAAATCCTAACTTTTCAAGTAATGACTCTTGGACTTCTGTCATTTTTTTTTAAGTAACAAAGGCTAAACGATCTTTTCAGTGTATTTCTATTTTACCTCACTAAGTATTCATCATGAAATATTCAGTGACGATACAATGGTGTGTTGAAAAGACAAGAACCACTTCTCAATCTTACCAAATGACCAGACATCAGAATGTTGTGGGGAATCCCTTCTTGGTTGGTCCAAACATTTTTCAGCATTCTTCAGCTATTTCATATAAGTGCCTTAAAAGTTAAACTAGTCTATTGAATATTTTTATATTTATTAATAAATAAATGTTGATAGAATATTATGGTTGGTTGTAAGTGCAAAGTCATAGATATTATTAGATTCTTTTATTGTACTATCTTTTGGGAATGAAATACCAAAAAGAATACAAGTTTATTCACTGTATATTTTTGTTAAAAGTTACTGATGTGCAAAAAAATTACAATCGTATTTAACCAAGTGTATAGAAAATAAAAAATACAAAGTAAATAGAATTAAAAAAAGACCTATTTTAATTACATTGAAAGACTGACATCCAATATTTTGTTACTTTTTAAGAAATAACAAAAATTAAATAAGTTTTAAAATAATTAAAACCATCAGGTTTGAATTTAAAAAAAAAAAAAAAAAAATTAATTTGCAGTTTTATATAAATTTTAAATGAAGAAAGCTTTTAAGAATAAGTCAAGTCCTGTGAATTGGAGACTTATTTTCCAAGTAAGTGTGTGTGTGTGTCTAAATATAGATAGCATGGACATAGAAATCAACACTGCATGATGACTGTCAGTTTTACATTTCAATGTGATTTTCAGACTAGACTAGCCTGAGGATTGCATTGAAGCATGAATCTGGGTCACCATACAGTGTTGATTCCTATGTCCACAGTATCTATAACTATAAACACTATCCCTGATACTGAGCATTCATCTACTATAAATATAGCAAATTCTAAACAAGAATTCACTGTGTGGGTTGTGTATATTGTAAATCTATTTAAGCTAAACTGTTTCTATACATTCATGTTAAATATCCTCTATGACCTAAGCAAAAATACAATTTGCTTTGTAATCACTTTAAAAAGCAACTTTTAAAGCAAACAGTTTTAGCTAAAGATTATTTACTAAGCTAAAAATTGTTTTGGAAATTAATGAGATATATATATATATATATATATATATATATATATATATATATTAAAGCTTTCAACTTTAACATAACCCGAAATCTTATACCTCCAATAAGTTTGTACATATAAGAAATGACATCTTTGAAAATATTTATTGCAAATTTTTAGGAACAAGTGTCCTAATGAATTCCCATAACAAATTTTAAGGCATTACTTGCCAGAAAATGATTCATGCATTGAAAATGTGTTAAAATATATGTCTAAACATATTTAAATTTAAATCTGTTTTTATCAAAATTATAGATTTTAAAAAAACAATGTTAAGATACTCAAAACAAAAAAAAAAGCATACACAAAACAAAATATATTAAGATTATTTATTTAATAGCAGATTAATGTAAATAAATTCATGTCTAGACTTAAAAAGTGATTAATAAAACCTGATGACAATATAGATGGTTGTAATAATTAAATCATTTGAATAAAATGAAAGATAAAATATTAAGATTTTTATGTTGTATTATAAATGGCACAAAGAAATGTTTGATTTCTCATTTTGTATAGATTTTTAAAGCTTATTTTGTATAATCCAGCAGTCAAATTGCATTATTTTATATTTATATTATCTTTTTTAATTCTTAGTTTTCTAAACTTTTATCTTTTTATTCATTTAGTCCAAATAGTGAATACTGCTAGCAAATTAATATAAGTAATTGTCTATCAATGATTGAAAAAGTGATTTTTAAAGAATGTCATTAGAAAATATTAAGAGTTTTAAAAAACATTGTCCTTTTTTTAAAATGTCAGTTTTTGATCAAAATTAAAGTTTTTGATCAGAATTAAAAATTAAAATCAGATTTTTATGCTTGTTTTTCCAGTCAAGTCTGATGTGTTAAATTTCATAGATACTGAGAAATATTAATTGAAATATATTTATGCAAACAATTTTTCTACAGGAAATGAACACATTTTTTTTTTCAGAATGTCAAATGATTAACAAAGTTATTTTTTCAGGTTTACCACAAAGTGACAGACTAAGAAAAGGCCATAGCAATTTAATAGAGACTGAATAAAAGTAGAAATTTGTTTTGTTACCTCAAAAGCAGGTAAAAATCCGAATCAATTTTGAAGTTGATAAAATAGAAAAATTGGTACTTTATAAGCAATATTGTTAGATAAAATTTTAAAACTTTATTATGAAAAACAGGAAGGAAAGGGATAAATGGTCAATTATAATTTTAGTAATGGAGTAAAATTGTTAGTTTCACTAAAAGAGAATGTTGTTATACAATAAAAAACAGTTTACTCATAGATTAAAATAATAACATTATTATATAGTATAACTACAGTACAGTCATGCAAATAAAAAAAAAACATTTTATTTATACTTATGCCTTATCTTAAATTCAATTATAATTTACAATTTGAATTATGAATCTACATTTCAGTTTTATATAAAGTTTCATAGAATAAATATGATAAAGGAAATTTGAATCCTCACTGTTATATAGTCAATTTTATACCTTCAATTATCCACATCTCCCATTAAAATTCCTATTTTTAAAGAGATATTTTGTAACTAAATTTAATTTTACCAACAGACTAATTAAATTCTCTTTATTTCATATAAAAGATTAATTATAAATAACATTAACCTTAATGGAAAATACTAAAATATTTCATTTTCATTTTATTGTAACAAAACATTGACAAGGCTTCAAAACAAAAGCAATGTTTTAATTTGCAAGTTTAAACAAAATAAGACCTAAATGCACAAAGGCAAAATATAGAAAGGCAAATTTTAGAGATTGATATTTGTACATGAGAATTTAATTTTTATATTTGTCTATTTTATACATTACTTGATCACAAAAGATACTACCAATTTAATTAGGATAGCATGGAAATTTACCTGAGCTTCCATGTGAAAATAAAACTGAAAACATTTCTGAAACTTACTAAAGTAATTTATCAGCAAGGTCTCATCCTTTTACAGATGAAACAGCTAGATGCAAATGTAAGTTTTATGCTAACAGTTTCTTCTCTCACACTTCTCACTTGTAGAACTCTCTTCCAACTTCTTACTTTTCAGTCAACTTTGATCTTCAGATATTTAAATGCAATGTCAATTGTTATCTTTTGTCTTCTTAATTCTTATTCTTTTATTGTTCTCTCTCCTTAATAATGTTTTCTTTTTCTTATATTATTTTACACTCAGTAACCTCTTGTGTTTTACTGGCTTTATTTGCCTTGCTTGGGGTGAAATGATTTAAAAAAAAAAAAAAAAAAAAAATTTCCAAGGAATGTAAATATTAGCTAATTCTATTAGCAAGGTATTCACAAACTCATTGAGAATATGTAAAATTGTATTAAAAATTATGATAAGAAAAATGTTTTATGATAAGTGAAAGAAAACAAATGTCCAGCAAATCAAACGCATGATGCAAAAAGGTTTTATTGTTGTTGGGTTGTACAATTTAGAGTGTACCAAATTGTTTTTTTCAAAAACTGTTTAAAGAATAAAAAAAAAAAAAAAAAAAAAAAGCGCAGGTTTCTTCCTTCATCAGGTGTGGCCCGTTCTGTAGGATCCCCATTTTCTGAATGACTCTCAGAGTTTGTATCACATGAACTAGAGCAAAGGCTGGACGGCCTTTCCTCCTTGACAGTCGCATTGTGGTTTTTCTCATCCCTTGATTGAGGAAATGGTGTCTGATCTACCAACCTCTCATTTGTGTTATTACAATGGTTATACAAATTGCTCAGAGCAGAAGAGTCATCTTGTTTGTTTTTCTTGGCTGGCAAAAATGCCGATTGATATTCATCAACAACAGAACAGTCTGAAGAACTGGCCACAGGACGAAAAGCACTTCCTCCTCCACTGTTGATGATACTCACACCCCTGTCCAGGTGATTAGACTGAACATAAGGAGGTAGGGGTGCATACAGTGGTGGAGGAAAAGCTTCCCCAGGACGGTAGAGAAAAGAAGAAGTGCTGAAGGGCACCCCGCTATTATGGTCCTTGTCTATATTTTGTCCTGAGAAATGGTGTGAGCCAGATAGCCGACCTGCCTCATGACTTCCATCCGAAGTGGATGCCAAAACCATCAGTGCTGGAGAGGCGAGAGAATTTGGAACAAACGATGATGTTTCCATCCCTTGTCCTCCAGAAGATCCCTGGGATGTCAATCCAAAGAAGGGCTTTGCCCACAGATTCAACCTAAACATGGTAAAATTGGAAACGTTACTCATGGTCAACAGTAGAGAGAAGTTTATGCTTCTTAAATTAAAAATAAATCCTAATAAAAGCAACAAGTGTTCTCACAATTTACTTTGTCTTGTTTGGAATTGCTCAAATTTGGACCTTGTTTTGTTTTGGTTTTTTTTATTTCATGGACCTTGATTTGTTTGTGTTATTTTTGTTGTTGTAGGTTAGCTACAAGTCTACAACATTATGTCAACATGAGCAATCACTCAGCTCTTGTTTGTTTTCTTATAAAAATTACAAGAATTTTACATCAAAACAAAATATCAAAATTTAAAAAAAAAGAAAAAAAAACAAAACAAAAAAAAAACGAGAAATCCAACATAAATAATTTTTTTAAAAAGTGGATGCCAAAGCAATTTCAAAACTTTGTTTTATAAGAATTGAAGACCAGTGTGTCAACAAATATAAAACAATAATGATGACAATATTAATGTTGAGTGTAGTAATAATAATAATAATAATGATGATGATGATAGCAACAATAATAAGAATGCAGTCATTATCATTTGTTGATGTTTTGTTGTAATAGTTCCTTAAAAAATCGTGTGAAGAGGTAGGCTGGAACGGACTGGACAAACACGATCGGTGAGAGGCGGGAGATGAGGCCAGAAAATATAAATGCTGGAAAAGAAAGAAGTAGGACTGTCCAGAGATCTGGCTGTCCAGCAAGCGAACCACAGCATGGCAGGTCTGTTAGCAAAGAGTGGACTACGCATCCCACGACACCGGCTCACACAGAGCGCACATGTCGGTTTATGGACGACCCATACCAACGCCGCCACTGATTTCTCCTACTCCGTCTCTGACTCTGCCTCCTATTGTATGTCTACACTGAAAGCGCGCGCGCTCACACACACACACTTACCGTGAAATAAACACTCAGACATATTTATTTTTTATGAATTAGCCAATGTGTGTGTAAGTTGGTTGGACATACGTAACATGAAAAGATTTGGGGAGGAGTTTCAAGCAATCATTTAAAAAAAAAAAAAAAAAAAAAAAAAAAAGAGAGAGTAAATTTCGGTGAAGGGTGCGAGACAAAAAGAATTACCTAAAAAAAAGAAGAAAAGAAATATACAGTCTGTTCAGTTTATCATCTGTGAAGTTAAAACCATAAAGTTGACGAAAAGAACCAGTTCGGCCGAAGAAGTAAAACGGGAAGAAAGAAACAAAAAAAAATATATTATAAATTCTCAGATTGATCTCCAACTTCTTAAACGAAATATTGACTTTATTAATTATTAATCTGACAAAAAAAAAAATTACCCATGGATGGAGGATCGTGGTATCAAGTTTTCACAAAAAACGGTTAATCTTTTTTTTTTATTTTAGAGATAAAATTCCTTTTTCTTTACACACACACACGCCTAACTACGAAAAAGTTTAGTCACAGTGAGTTAAATGTTTTCAAACATTTTTTTCCACGCTAGTCTATCTTTGTTGTTATTGACTTTTTTGTTTGTTTTTTGTTTTTATAACAAAATATCTCGATCGTCAATAAGTTTTTCGACAGTCTTTCTCAGGTGTTATTATTGTGTCGAATAGTCATCGGATGCAACATAGTTGTTAAAAAAAGCTTGAAACGAGTTGAAGAACGTATCGACTGTAAACTTGTTGAATCGAAAAGAAAGTTTGATCAAAGACGAAACATTAAACAAGAATACTAACTAAAATGCGTGAATTTAAAACTTCATAGAATTAAAAAAACTGTAATTGGTTTTTTTCTTTTTTTTTTTTGTAAACTGTAGTTTTTTTTATTTTTGATGCAGTGAATTGTGCATCCTTTTTAAAAAAAAATACTTTGTTTTCTTACCTTTTTAATGTTATTGTTTTTAAGTTGAAGAAAATTAACTAAACACAAACAGTAACTAACATTGTTTCAGTTTCCGTTGTAAATTATTTTATGTGAATAGAATGTAAAGTTTTGATTGACAGGACGAAATTGAAAGTAAAACTTATTTTGTCTTAATTGTCAAATCAAAACTTATCAAGAATAAAATTTCCATTTTAATTTAAAAATAGAATTTTATTCTTTAAAAAAAAAAAAACAAAAAAAAAAAACAACGCGATTATTTCATGTGGTTGCAAAAAGCCTTGAAATATTAAAATAAAATTCCTGTTTTAATTCAATGATCGATCTTCCAGTTTTATCGGAATCATATGGGAGCAATCATTGAGTCGTCCAAATTACGATTTCTTTGCCGTACCGATAGAACAACAAATGCGTTGAGTGTCGTTAAAAAAAAATGTAAATAGAACACTTAGCAATAAAAACTGAAAGAAAGTGTAAAAGTAAGCTAATTATTAATTTTAAAAATATTCGTTCGTACATTTGAAATAGAAAAGTCAAAATTTTTCATTAATTAACAATTTATTTTAACATCAGTTCCTGTGCGGAGATGTTTTATTGGTCGATTATTTTTTTTTAAATAACCGTTTTCCTTTGATCTCAGAAACGATGCATTTATAAACAACAACAGTAACACATACACAATGTGTGGAATATTTGAAGAACTAAAAGTTTTGTTTTTTAGTCTAACGTAAACAAAAACAAAAAAAAACTGAAAGGGTAGTAGTGTCGTATAATAATTCTTAGTCTTCTTCCCCATGAATTTTAATTATGTACGTGAGAGCTCAGTGTCATTTTCTTATTAGCTTTATTTAAAAACAAAAAAATAAACAAAAAAAAAACAAAAAAAACGGAAGACTTGACATTTCTAACTTTTTTTTTACAGTTTAAAAAAATCATCTTTTAAATGATTACTTCTATTGTTGCAATTACAAATTCTTTCGGTTTGAAAGTGTAAATAAAAAAACTAACTGCAGTTCAGAATTTCTTCGGACAGACAAATATAAAACTAAAAAGTTAAAAAATTATCTAAGAAAACCAAGTCTTCATTCATTCATTCAAGTATAAGAAGCCTGTTTAGTTTCTGTTTACATAAGGAGAATTAGACAACTTTATATCGAATTCTAGTTAATAAATTAAATTTACTTTAAAATTTAAATCCCATAATTTAAAATAAAAAACTAAAAAGTATATAGCTCCTGAATTTGATTAAGTAAATTAATTTGTTTTTGTTTTGCAGTCGTTTTTTTTCTTTTTTAACCCAACCGTCAACCGTTATTCATCGTTGACGTAAAAAAATGTTTTTTCCTAATCAAAACAAAGTAAAAGTTAGTTTGTTTTTCATAAAAATAAAATTATCTACCTCACTGATATACTTTCCGATTGATAAGTTTTAAAAAGGTATACAAAAACCGTAACTTAAACAATACTTGATTTTTAAAACGTTATTTATTATTTATTAGAAATCGTAGCAGTAAACTGAAACATTATTAAACAAAAAAATAAAAAAATACATACTAAAAAGTTAATTTATATAAACAATTTCCTGATTCTTCATCTTTTTTTGAAGTCAATAACTTTTTTATATTTAATAATGAGTTACTGGTCAACAAGCATTTGCAAGGAAATTTATTTTTAAAACCATGGATTTCAGATTGTTTTTTTAAGGCGAAATAATAGTCATTCTCTGCCTGACAACAAACACGTTTCCATGATTTTTTTATTTTACCAGATCTCACATCGCAAAATTTTACTGTAATTTTTTAAACAATCTTTCGCGTTTTTGTTTGTTTGTTTTTTTTAGGGGGAGATTGTGATTTATTTCTTATTGTTTGACACCAAATACATCACAAACACACTACCGAACACCATGAATAACTCATCGACTCTTACTTCAACTTAAAAGTTTTCATTTCTTTAGTTTTTTTTTCTACAAACTATCTTGATATAAATCTAACTGAATTAAACAATAGCTTCAAAAATGTTTAATTTTTTTTTTAATTTATCAAGGACAGGTGGATTTCTGCAACAGGAGATAGTTTAATTAATTGTTATGTTTGCTATTTAAAATGTAATGTTCTTTTCAATTGTTTGTTGCGGGTAGATCTACCCGGGTTTTGGATGTGATGTGGTCATTCTTCAGTTCAGTTGCTAAGCTAACTGCAATTATTAAGACAAGGAAGAAGAAAGACCAGTGGTCATATTTGCGGTGAAGACATTCTAAGAACAATAGCCAAAGGCAAAGGGAGAATATGTATGACCGATGAGGAATTTAACTTAAGCCTAAAAATATTGTTACTTTTTTTATTTAGTAAAGAAAGATTTTACTTTTTTTTTTCTTTTTACAATGTCGCATAGTGAAATCCAAACTTTTCAGAGTGACATGGTCCCATGTTTGTTTTGTTTTTTTTCTTCAAAATCGTAACAAATATTTCAAAAATAAAATATCTTTACTACTGGGTTTAATTCTCAAGAGCGTAACACAGGACAGAAAATGTGCTTTTAATAATAAATAAAAAAAAAACAAACTAAACGGGTTATTCCGGAGAAAAAGGGTAATGTGTTTAGTTTGAAACTTTCTTTAAAAAAAAAAAAAACGTACAGGACACAAGCATTTACCGGGCAATAGTTTACCGTCTTCCTTTTTTATTCGAACTTGTCGGCATGGTTTTTTCTTTCATTCAACCAGCGCCCAATGCTTGTCAAAAGACGTTAAGGAAAAAAAAGCAAATAATTTGCAATATGAAGCGAGTAAATAAACGACAATGTGGTGGTACGGGACGAACACGAAGGTTGATTATTCTTTTTTTTATTATTTATTAAGGTGACACATAGATTAATAATCCGTTTACATTTAAAACATGATGAGATTAATTAATTGTTGTTGTTTATTATTATATGCCTCCATTATGGTAATGTTAGTTAAATACGGTAGTAGCCGTTATGAAGGGGAACTATTGCAATGAAAACCACCTATGGGTCGACCCTTTTTGATTGTTCAATGAATCGCCAGAAAGCAACAAACAAATAGCCGAAGCCTTCTTTATTTCACCCCAGGAAATTGAAGATCATCGACATGACAATTTTGCCTGATGGGACTGGATTGGGTTAGGTCGTGTTTTGTAAACAAACCGTAATTTCGTTTCAAACATCATTCATCCGCTATGTGTGTGTATGTGTTGCTGTTCATCTTATATATAATAAAAGAATGTGCGTATGTAGTTTTATATCTATATGTAAATGTGTGTATGTGTGGAGATATATATATATATTTTTTATTATCGATGTGTGTGTTTATGCGTGCGTCAGGAGTTTCCCTCCGATCAACATTAATTAAAAAAAAAAAAAAAAAAAGCGGGGTGCAGGGTAAGTAATGAAAAAAAAAATAACGATGAGGGCTGGCTAAAAATCAGAAAAATAACCCTATTGATCGGGAGAGGAGGTGCAAAGAAAACCGTTTCGTTGGGGGCGTCACAAAATTGCTTTCAGATGGCAATGCAAATCAGGAGATATATAATTTCAAAACACTCACAGGTTAGTTAGTGTCTGTTTCAAGCTTCTTCCAGCCTCGACTTGAAATCGGGATTTACCATCAAAGGCATCTTGGGATAGCACCACGACGCTCGCAACAGCAGTAGCAAGTGCTCTCCCTTCCATACTAAGCGTTTTTTAGTTTTCAGCAAGCCCAACACGCGTCTTTTTATAATTATTTTAAAAATAGCTTAAAAACTCTTTGGTCGAAAATATTACCAGAATTAATAAAAATTTATCTTCTTATCTTATACTATTTTAAAATATAACTTTAAATATTTTTATTTCAAACTGAAAACTCGTGGTCTGCGGTCTGTTTTTTTTTTTCTTTAAATTTGAGAATAACTTCTTCAGATGATATTTATTTTCAGTCAATAATTCATATTTTTATATATATATATATATATATATATATATATATATATATATATATATATATATTATTACGTTTTCTTTTATGTAAAAACAAATTGCCAAATGCTCACTAGATCAACTGCATATTAGTTTTATTTTTTTTAAATTTGAGTTCAAAGTTTTAAAGTCGATTATTACTGTTGTGTTACTGTTACACAACAACTTTTATCATTTTTTGATTTTTTTTGTGTCTAAAAAGTAAAATTCTGATTTTCTGGAAACAACGTAAAACACAGTGACTATTAAAATACAACTTTATACAAATTTATTCTTTAATGTAATTTATAGGTAAAAAAAGGTAGTTTTTTTCTTCTTTTTTTTTATTATTACAAAATTGATTTGAATACAATTTTCAATGAAAATTTTTCATTCAACTAATTCATTCGGTCAAGCAAGCTGATTCGTTTCTAAGCTTTTTTTTTTTTTTATTGAACTTCTTTTTACGGATGTTTAATGTTTTTCTTTATTTAAAAATATTTACCTGTTTTTTTTTTTTTTTTTTTTTTTTTTTTTTTTTTCATCTCTGGTTTGAAAAAAGACTCTTTCGTGGAGTCTTTTTAATCACTTTCTTTGACTTAATAAAAAATCTATAAATAAAAGATATAAATAATCTGATTTTTTGTTTATTTTGGGGGTATTTTTTTACATCTCAGAAACTCAAAGTTAATATTGAAAAAAACATTTGTTTTATTTTTAAATTTGCAAATACTAAGCATTTTGTTACAATACATTGTACAAATACTCTCTCTTCTTATCAAAATTTAAATGTTTCTTCTCTTGATTGAATTATTCATTTTAAATAAACTATAATAAAAGTGTAAACTGTAAAATACGTCATAACAGAAATAAACTATCTTTAATTTAAAGAAAAATATATATTTTATAAATTTTATATATTTTCCAGTGATTTATTTACACCCAAAAACGGAAGCAGTTACGTTTGTGAAAAATAGTCAACTAATTGATTTTTTTTTATTACTAGTAATAATCCTATTGGTATTGCCGACTCTAATGTATCTTTACTTTCAGTTTCATCATTAACTTCTTATCAACTAATAAAAAAGTAGCTAAAATGAAATAAATTTACTTTCTTTAAAATCCTAAATGTGCTGAATATGCGGCATACTTTTTTTTCACTCGTCTTTATCTTTCAAATTTTTATTTTAATAAAGTACGTGTTAAAGAATTAATATTCAACTTAAATATCACAGCAGTAAAAATGAAAAAGACTTCAGCATATGAAATTACATGCAAACAAACACATATTTCTAACTTTTTAAAGTTCCAACCAGAAACTCCAGTGATACGAACAAAAATGTGAATATTTTTCAATTCAATTATTAGAAAATTCAGAAAACTGAAAATTGTTACTTGGTTAGATAGTTTAGTGAATTATTTTATTTACAATTATTGCCAGTCAGTGCATTATTAAAACAAATTAGCGGTAAATAATCAACAGTACCTTTTTATACCCATCTGTCACATTGCTAAGACTTTTACATAAGTAGCGAAGTAATCGTTCTAAGTAACGCGGCCAATCGAAATAAGTGCTGTGTAATTGTGTTAAATTACCTTAGCTGAATTAAAGTTATTTTTTTAAAAATTGCTATATATCAAGTTAATTTGCCTAACCTGTAAAAATAATGATTTCTTTAAATAAAAAAATTGTTTAATTTATATGCGGTGTTATGTCCGCACAATAGGGAGATTTCAGAGTTGATTGTTGGTATTGAAATCTCTCTCTCTCTCTCTCTCTCTCTCTCTCTCTCTCTCTCTCTCTCTCTATCTATCTATCTATCTATCTATCTATCTATCTCGTGTTTTTTACAATAGATTTTTCTTCCGCTACATTTCAAAACATAACAAGAGCTATTTTACTTATACCTCCTGATGAGTGGACAAAAAAAAGGTTCGTTTACAAACTCAGGAATATGCTGAATATAACATCAATCAGCTAAGTGAAAAATTTTATATTTGTATTTATGAATAGTCCTCTCTCTCTCTCTCTCTCTCTCTCTCTCTCTCTCTCTCTCTCTCTCTCTCATGAGGCAGGTATATATATGCAAATCTATAGAAATAAATTTATAACCGATTATGATGAATTTGTAAGTCTTACTCTTTTCCTTATTTATTTATATTGCTCTGTATATAAATTTATACATTTAGCTTTCATCATGGATTTCATTTAACTGTTTAATATTTTTATATTAAAAAGACCTTGGAATAATAATCCCTACTACCACCTACGGATTTGGTATTATAAATAAATATAGATAATAATATATATATGAGAGAGAGAGTTTTCTGACTCTTTGGATCAGACAGGAATAGTTTGCAATTTTAAGAGTGTATGTGTGTTTGGTGTAAATTATATAGAATCGGAATGAAAAATCAGAGTCGAGTTCGAATTTGAATTCATTGCATTCATTTCTCTTCTCGCCTCCTCTCCACCGCTGGCTCTATGTGAATAATGGGTCATACTGTGAGTAATCACTTGAGGAGAAATAAAAACTCTGAATTCAAAATCTGAGGAGGGTCGTTTCGAAACACTGTGGGACGCAATCCGCACGCGTTCTCTTCTGTCAGTTCTTCTCCCGAAATGTTTGGTTGGTTCTTCCCAAACATTCACCAATATTATTAAATTATATGGGCCGGTAGTTTGGTTGATCGGTTTTAAGAATTAAGCTACTAGAGATCAATGGAAGAGTCTTTTTATTTCTTTTTTATACACGGTATGCAAAAAAATGAAAAATGCAAATGTTTGGCACAGGATTCCTCATCTTTTTTTTTTTTTTTTTTTTTTTGTATTTCATCTTTGAATTTTTTTACATAGTTATTGTTAGTCATTGAAGCAATACCAATAATTTGCATGCATCTTCTTTCTATTAAAACAGTATCTACATTTATACACCTAACACACACAAACACCCCTCTCTCTCTCTCTCTCTCTCTCTCTCTCTATATATATATATATATATATATATATATATATATAATACATATATTCGTGTGTGTATATATATGCTTATATATGTGTATGTATATATATATATATATATATATATATATTCGTGTGTGTATATATGTCCGCGTGTATGTGTGTATATGTATGTATGTGTGCATATATCTTTGTGTATATATATATCTGTATGTATCTGTGTGTGTATATATATATCTGTATGTTTGAATATGTGGGTGCATATATATCTGTATGCGTATATGTGTGTGTGTATGTATGCATATATATATATGTGTGTATATACATGTATGCGTGTGTGTGTATGTATGTGTGTATATATATGTATACAGCGTGCGATGGATAAATTGTCACCATTTTATATTTTAATTTCGCTCATGCGTTTTGTTTGTTTTTGATTTTGTTGACTGCACAGTATAATAGGGTCAGTTGGGCACCATCTGTGAGAAAAAGAGCCTCATGACGCAATTCACTGAGCCAAAGATTTGAAAACGGCCCACTGTACTGCTTGGCACTCGAGCCGGAAATTCCAATATGAATATTTCAGAGTGTTTGAGTGTCAATCTGAGCAAAGTGAAGAGGATTTGAAAAGAGTTAGATGAGTCTGATTGTGATTACGAAGGTACGTCAGCTCAGGAAACTAACTCTAATCGTTCTAATAAGAAAAGAACCTCCGAATATGTGGTGAGGGCCTCAGACTCAACGCGTTGGTCTACATCATGTGCCTTGAGGAGATAGTGCTGCTCTGGGTCAAGATGGTGGCTGCTGGAAGACCTATTTCTGGCAACAGGACTATGTACCATGCCATATGCAAACAGGAGAAGCCAGTCATGTCTATCAGACAATTTTTGCGACCACATCAACCCTTATATCTGGTCACCTAACTCCCCAAATTCTATGACCCTCTTGATTATTATGTTTGGGGCGCAGTTGAACGTGAGGTCAAAACACCTTGTAACACCAAAAATAAACTGAAAGCAAGGATTGTGACAGCATTCACCAACTTAAACACGAAGACTGCCCAGAAGAGCTACTGGTGATTCCGAAGTCGTCTGGAAGCCGTGGTAGAAGCTAATGGCGATTTTATTGAATAAATTTACTCTTTAGTATTTCAAGATATCTTAGTGTAATTTTAGTAAACACATCTGTTAAAATGAGATGTCAGCGTTATTTTCATTTTTGCGTAATTTAGAAGACAATTTATCATTCGCACCCTGTGTGTGTGTATATAATGTGTATTTATAATTTGTTTAAACGTTATTTTAAATGGATATTCTTATTTCAGTAGATTCTATGTTTTTATTTATTTATTAAACGGTATATTTATTTATTGACATCTACCGGTCTGAATTTTCAAGAAATCTTGTTAGAAAAATATGCGCCTTCCACTATTCGGGCTTTGTTTGATCAGGTCCTACGTAGCCAAGTGGCCTAAAGCACGTCAAATCTAATGATGGTTTCCTCTAGGTGAAGCAGGTTCGAATCCTACCTGAGAGCGTATATATATGTATATATGTTTATCTATATATATATATATATATATATATATATATATATATATATATATGGTGATTGAAAAATAACTCCCATTTTAAAATACTTATAATTTATTTATTAACTATCGATTTTACAAGAAATGTATATGAAAGTAAAGCGTTTAGCATGAGGTTTCATTTAAAATTCGATATAGTAACCAGATTTCACTACCAGCTTCTCGAGCCGCCGAGGAATGGCGTAAACTGATTTCACAGGGAACTGTTGTGGTATGGAAAATATAACTTCTTGTATTCGCCCTTGCATCGCGAAGAATGTGACTAAAATGCGTTTGAGCCCGATCATGCATGAACCACATCCGTCTTTGTATTAGCAGGGGTACATCCTCTAGCAGGTCTGTAAGTATGTTCCAACTAAAGTCCCTGTAGACAGCTAGGAGAATATATGGACGTACCAGACAGTCACCTACAATTCCAGTCCATACATTAATCGTAAAATGATGCTGGTGTCTAGCTTATATTGTACTATGGGGATTCCGAACCTCCCACAAATGTTGGTTGTGTAAATTTGTTATTCCATCTCTTCCAAATGTTGCCTCATCCGTAAACAAGAGTGAAGAGACAAACAACAAATCGGCAGTTTGTGCAATAAGCCATCGGTAAAAGTTCCCCCGTGGTGAGTGATCAGAGGGTGAAAGATCCTGCACACTTTGCAAATGATATGGATACAGGAACTACTCTTCAAGTACCCTCCATGCGGTACTAGGAAATGTTCGACATGCTAGGGTCACTTGACGTGTGCTGATACCCGGATCGTCTCCGACACCCTTGTAGAATGTGTTCTTCATGGTCAAGAGCACGAGAAGATCTCGATCTTCCTCTATCCATAGTTTGTGGTGCCATGGATCTTGTCTCAGCAATGCGATGATAAACAGCAGCAAAGGTTGAATGACTTGACTGCCTTCGGTCGGGAAACGCAATCTGAAACAGCCGCGCAACTTCCCACCAGTTACCGTTCGCGCGGTCGTTTGTAAAAATCATATCTGCCTGCTCATGATATGAATATCCTGACATTCTTCTTCTACACACATTAAACATTGAAGATACACTAGCCACAAATATACACCAACGACAAATGTAACCTAGTTTACATCGCAACACAACATCTCCCATAAACTTCCTTTAAACTTAATAACTCTAAAACGAAGGATTTGCGGGCATGTTTATATGAACTTTTGTCCTTCTTTTGGCTTGAGGAGCCCCTCTCCCACCCAAAGTTTGCAAAAGTATTTTTGATACACCCTATATATATATATGTATGTGTGTGTGTGTGTGTGTGTGTGTGTGTGTGTGTGTGTGTGTGTGTGTTTATATGTATATAAAACTGTAATTTTTGTCTTTATTTTCTCCCGAAATTAAAGCAACTATATGAAGTTTAGAACGGGGTCATGATCAAACATAATAGACATTCGTTGCCTGTTATATTTAATAATATATGTTTGAATATGTATATGTATATATACGTGCATATATATATATATATATATATATATATATATATATATATATATATATATATATATATATACCTTTATTCTACAATCTACATTCAACATCATCACTTGATAAGACACCAGAGGTGTTGAAACAAAATGGCTATTTTGTAGTGATTTTTATAACATGTTATAATTTTTAAATAAATAATTATATTCGCTCTACTCTGTATTGAGCACTCTTTTTAAGAATAGTAATTGTTGGTTATTGGAATTTATTCCGTATACACCAATCATATACTTATATATATATATATATATATATATATATATATATATATATATATATATATATATATGTGTGTGTGTGTGTGTGTGTGTGTGTGTGTGTGTGTGTGTGTGTGTAAAAAAATTTAGATCGAGTGTCTGAAACAGGACAATATAAATAAAACAAAAGGAACAGTTATCTTAGCCGATGCGTGGACTTTATAAGGGCATCTGGCTTAATGAAGTCCCACAGAAGACGAAATGCGTCATATATATATATATATATATATATATATATATATATATATATATATATGAGGAAAAAGCTAAAGAGCGAGTGTAAAATAAAAAAAAAAACGAAGAAAAGGATAAATAATTACGACACCCTACAGGCACAAACATCCGCTCAGACAGGTGCATGGATGCACGGGCACAAATGCAAACACGAACACAAACAATACGGAAAAAAAATGCACCAATGATAAGTGTATAAAAAAATCGAAAAATATAAGCAGCAAATTCGTGATACGCTCTGAAAATTGGACAGACAGGTCTGCCTACGAAACTGAAGTTTAGATACTGAAGGTAATATCAATCAGTTAAGTTACAAACTTTTGGTTTGGCGGAGAAAAAGTTCATCTGCTTAAAGGGTAATAAAACAATAAGGATTGGTCAGAGAAAGATGGATGGAAAGGAGGAGGTCTTTGTCTTTAAGCGACGGAACATTTTCTCCACCAATCCAAGAAGAATTTAGATTCATACCACACACAAAAGACCATGGTTAAACATAGGAAAACATAAAGGAAAAATTAATTCCTTTAA